GATGGCCCCGCGCCGGGGTCGCAGGTGACGCGCAGAGGGGTCCCAGGCCGGCGGGCAGGGGCGCACCCCCGAGGCCGCCCTTCGCGGGGGCACTGGGGAGTCGAGCCGGGAAGGGGCGGCGTGGCTCGGACGCGATTTGGGATCCAGGGAGGGTGGGGGCAGCCCCTCCGCCCGCCCGGCCGGCCCTCCGGGTGCAGGGCAGCCCCTGCCCACCGCACACTGCGCTGCTCCGGACCCACTGTGCGTGTGACAGCGGCTGATCTGTCCCTGGGCTGCGCGACCGCCCTGGCCCCTCTGTGACCCGGGCATGCGGGCGGGCCGCCACACGGGGGCGGAGGGCGCGAGCCGAGGCCAGGGGACGTGAGGGCAGCGGGCCACTGGGGCGAGGGGACTCCCCGATGGACAGGCTCTGCCTGCGCTCGCTTTAAAACAGGGTGGGGTGGAGGGCCGTGGATTGGGAAGGGGGACACCGGGGCTTCCCCGCGGGCTGCGGGCGCATCGCAGGTTGGGCCAGGCATCCCCTTGGGAAGAACTTTCTTCTCCTTGTGCTTCTCGGGCCTGTGCAGAGATTCTGGGATGGCCTTCCCCGAGGTCACCACGCCGAGGGCAGCCCTCAGCAGGCCTGGGTGATGAGGTCAGGGCCTCCACAAGCCAGACCAGAGCCTCCAGAAGCAGCCTCCCGAGAGCCACCTTGGGGCTTTCTACGGGAAAAGTTTAAATTCGATTCGGCTCTTCTGGGCATCTGCATCCTTTCATGGAAGTCACTGAGGAAGTTCTGCAGGGATGGGACCTGCTGGGCCACTGATGGCCTGCCTATGCTGCCTGCCCCTGGGGGTCTCTAGGCCCTCCTGCGAGATCAGCCGGCTGCCAGCAGGTGTCTGGGGACGCCTGGAGGCAGAATCTTCCCCTTGCAGGCCAGTGCGTGTGGATGCTGAATGGGGCCTGGAACTCGCTTTCGGAAGGACTCTGTCCTAATGGGATGCAGGCTTGGCAGGGACCAGGGGAGGCAGCGGCTGGAGCAGCTTCTAGAGAAAGCCAGGGGTATTGCTTGCTGAGAAGTGATTCACTATGGGGTGCCCCACAGCGAACCCCAGTTCTCAGCCAGCTCTAGAGAACACCTCTGTGCTGGGGGATGAACAGGAACCTGAGGCCATGGGATGCCAGCCTGGCCCCTGTAGAGCCCTCCAGTCTGGAGCAAAAAGAACAGTGCCTGTCTGCCCCTTGCTCACACCAGGCACACGCCTACCCTCAGCGCCTTCCGCCCCACCTCCCCACCCCTGGCCTGAGAAGGGGTCCTGGCTGGTCAGGCTTGGTCCTGCCTGCTGTGGACTGTGCATTTCAGGGGTTCCCAGCCCCTTATTAGCACTGCTTCCACCAATGTTTTCAAAGTACAATTTAAAACTCAAAAGTAAACTTTTCTGCAACTCAAAAGTTTGCTTAGTGCTCTGAGGCCCTCCGGCAGCTTCTCTGGTGGCTGCTCAGAGTGCAGCAGCTGCTTGGGGACCCTAGCTCTGCGGTGGGACTCTGCTCAGCGGAGACAACTCAGCTGGCCTGGAATAGGTGCCTGGGCAGGACTGGCAGAAGTTAACAGGGGTTTCTCCAAAGTCACGGTGTGAGGGCTACTGGGTCCAAGCTGGCCTCCCTGTGGGGAGGGGTCCAGGGAACATACCAGGGAAGCGCAGATACTAGAAGCCTGGAGTCTTCCCTCCCTGTGCCCTGTAGAGGCAGGGCAGGGTCATTGGCCTGCGTGGGACTGGGCTTGGAGCTGGTGCCCAGAGGCACATCCAACCTTCCCCTCCAGACCTCCCCCCACCCCCTTCCCAGGCACAGCCAATCAGGTAGCTCAGCCTGTGCTCCATGTGGCCTGTGCCCCACCCCCAGGGACCTTCCAGGACAGCTTGTTGGGTGCACAGCAGCCAGAGCTGCCAGGGGCCCTCTGTAGAGGGCAGCTGTGGGTTTCTCAGGGGGAGGTCCGAATTCTGGCTGGTTGGCCCCACCATCAGCCTTCCACCCAGACTGGGCTGTGTGGCCACTCCCTGTTCCCAGTCCCCACCTCAAGCAAGAAGTATCTGCCACTAGTTAGTTACTCAGTCCCCTTCTGGCCTTCCCCCCTGACTCCCTGGAATGACAGCCTCCCAGGCATCTGCCACAAAGGATGGGAGGAGCCAGGCCCAGGGGCTGCCCCAGAAAGTGGAGTCCTGTGCACCCATGCCTGCCCTTGAAAACCAGCACAAAGACCCCCCCATGATGTAGGATACCCCATGCTGCACCTAGCACCACTCAGGCTGCCTCCCATTGCCACAGCCCTCCAAGCTGTTACCAGGGTGCATCCTGCCCACCCTAGAGGTGAGGCACTGAGGCATGGAGTGATGGCCGGCTGGAGGGCTAGGCGGTAACTGGGATGTGGACACTGTCCTTGGCCTGCACTGCACCTGCCACCCCGTCCTGTTTTCCATGCCACAGGCGTGCCCACCACAAAAGCAGCTGGGGCAGAAGGCTGGGTCAGCCCTGTATACCCCAGCCCCCACGGCACACCCACAAGAGCCATCGATGTGCCACTGGGCCTGCAGACATGACAGGGACCCGCCCCAGGCCTGCAGAAAGACTCAGGAAACCTGACAGGCAGGTCTGGCAGCCGTGTCCTCACTCCAGCAGCCACCCCAGAGCAGCCCTCAGTTCCTGCTGGCAGTGGGGTGCAAGCTGGAGAGGCCAATCAGGGCCAGGCCCCGCACACCCAACATCAGGTTCAGAGGATACAGCCCAGGCTGAGAAGCCCAGGTGGGTGGGGCAGCAGCCTGGGGCCCCACTGACCAGTGGTCCTTGACGGATGCCCCAGGAAGCCCAGCCATGGCCAGTTGCCAAGCAGCTTGGGTACTCCCCAGTGACCCCAGTGGGGGGTGTCAAGTTCCAGATCCCCCAGGTCCTGCTCAGCACAGTCTCAGGACACACCGGGCCACTCTGGGCAGTTTATTGAGGTCTTAGTGTCACGGAGAGGAGGTGGCACACGCACACTTGCACACATAGTGAAGGGACACCTCGCACACAACCCCACAGGTTGCATACTGTCCATGGTCCCTTGTCCCCAACAAGGAGCATAGCCCTTGGGGTTGGGAGAGTCCTGAGCTGGCCACGCCCCAAGCTTCCCTGGGGCTTGGCGGACTTGGCAAGGACTGAGGGGAGCCTCCTCCACAGCGTTCTGTCTCAGCCAGTCCCTGGGTCCGAGCCTTCTCACTGCACAGATAAAGGACTCTGCTGCGGCTGAGTGCCCTCTGTGTCACCTGGCAGGGTTGGTCTTTCTGTCACCAGAGCCTGGAGCTGGCTGGGCTAGTAGTGGACACCACTGGGGCCAGGAGCTGCTACCTCCAGGAGTTTTGCCTCATGGGAGCCACTGTGGGAGGACATGGCTGAGCTGGCTGGGGGCCACAGGAGGACCCCACCCAGCAGATGCTACAGGGGGTGCAGACATACCCTCAGGGCTCAGGCTGGACACTAGGACAGGACTTGGGGGGGCTCCCAGAAGGGGCCTTTCTCTGACTGGAGGCAGAAGATCCTGTGAGAGAGGCAGGTCAGCTTAGAGCTGGGCTGGAAGCCCACCAAGCCCCAGCCCTCCAGAGTGGGTCTAACCTGTGTGCCAAGGGCGGCCCTCTCAGAGCGGGGTGCCGGCGGCAGTGCAGCCCCCGCCTGCTGGATGAACTGCTGCAGGGTACACTGGCGTAGCTCCCGGTTCAGTTCCTCCAGCTCCTGGGCCTGGGCCTGGGCCACAGGACGCACAGCCATGGCCTCACACCCTGCTCTCCCCAGTCAGACCCCAGACCACCCCGCACCCATCTCGTGTCCTGGAACGGGGTGGGGACACACCAGGACGTTGTGAGGGGCAGGGCCCACAGACTCACCTGCAAGGTGTGCTCAGCGGCCTCCAGGGCCCGGCTCACCAGGGCCAGGCTGCCCTGCACCTCCAGGCTCTGTCGCTCCTGGGTGGCCAGGTCCTGGCGCAGCCGCTCAGCTGTGGATGCCGTGGACGAAGGGGACCCAGGGACCTCTTGGGCCAGCCGCAGGTCAGCCTCCAGGGCGCGGGCCTGGGCATCCAGGGCCTGTAGTCGGGCAGCGTGCTCCGAGGTGGCTGCACTCAGTGCCTGCAGGCGGGCCTGAGCCTCGCGCTCCCGAGCCTGCTCCCGCCGCAGCTCCTGCTCCCAGAAGGCCTCCTGGCCTAGCTCTATCGTGTTCCTTTGCACCCTCCGCTCCAGGTCCTGCAGGCCTGTGCAGCATCCCGGCATGGGCACTACAGCGGCCGTGGGATCAGGGGCTGTGGGGCCTGGGGCCAGCTCGGGGCGACCCAGGCTGCAGGTCAGTACTTTGCGGGGCTCCCAGCCCAGCACTGGCCGTGGCTTTGGGGGGAGGCTGGCACGAACTGGGCAGCGCTCAGGGGGTGGGCAGCTGTCAGAGGAGGGGCGCCCAGCCAGGGTGGGCCCTGTCCGTCTCAGAATAAACTGGACGTCACTGGCCAACTGGCCACAGGTAGCCTGGGCGCCCACTGGACACTCCTGGGGTAGCATCTGCCGTTCCTTCTCCCTCAGACGCTGCACAAGAACAAAGCGGCCGGTCTGGCCTGACGGAGGAGGGGGCTCAGTCTGTGTGCCCCACTGTCTGTCCTACAGCCAGCCACCCCTACTCTCCATCCACCAGGCTCAAGGAATCGAGGTAGGCAAGTGTGGTCAGTGACCACCCTCTTTGTGAAAGAGAGAATCAGACTCAAGACCCTACCCTGACTCTGCTTGTATGGCCTGCTGTCCTCCACGTGGACTCACCTATGGCTTGAGCAAGTGCAATGACCACTTCCTGGCAGGTGGTCTGTTCTGAGACCCCACAGACCACACGCTGGATGCCATCCACCCACACTTTCAACTCCATGGCAGCCAGTCCCGAGAGCATCCTCCAGTCCTGCGGCAAGGACACAGATCACAGGTCAGGCCTCCCTGGCCTCACACCACAGCTGCTAGTTTTCTGCTCCTCCTGCCTGCCCGCCTCCCCCCATTTCAGGGCTGAGACCTCTGCACTTGGGCCCTACCCGAAGGCTGCACATTCCTGGGGGTGGGCGGCCATCAGGACCAGCCCCCCAAAGGGGAAACTAAGCTATCCCTCTCAGACAAGCCCTTCGAGGCTTCCCCAAGCATCAGCCTCCTCCAGCCCCTCCTCTATTCCCGGAACTCGGCAAATCATTAACCAGAGCCAGGATTTCCTGCTCCCACCTCCCCCCAGTCACCTGCTCTTCCCGCGGGGCGGCACCGAGGGCGGCTGGCCCCAGGCTTGCAAGGGCGCCCGCTGGGAAAAAACGACTCCCTCCGTTGCCTTGGGAACGCCGCCCTCCCCGCAGGGAAGGGAGCTTCTCAGGCCGTCGGGACATTCGACAGTCGCGACCTAGACCTCGACCCTCCGGGGCCGACCGCACCCCAGCCCCGAGCAACCCCTCCGCCGGCCCTCGCTTCGCCAGGTCGCCCGCAAGCAGGCGAGCGAGCAAGCTGGGACCCCTAAGCCTAGACCGAGTCCGTCCCCTGTTCCCGAGGGCGTGCCTGCCCAAAGGTCGCCGCGCCCCCGCCTGCGTGGAGCCCGGGAGCCCCGCCTGGCCGGGTGCAGGTGCGGCCCCCACGGGCGCCGGGCCTCCGCCCGCCCTCCGTCCCCGCCGAAAACTTTCCTCCGTCCCAAGTCGCCGCCCCGGCGGTCCGGGCACCACACTCCGCATTCGGGAGGCTCATGGGGCCGCACAGCTCACCTGGGCGCGCGTGGACCTCAGGTACCCGGGCACACACCGGCCCCTTCCTCGGGCGCCTGGGGCACCGCCGCAACCTGCCGCCTCCAGAGCGGCGGGCGCGCCCGGCCCCGACCCCATTGGCCCGTAGCCCGCACGCCCCGCCCCACAGCGTCCCCATTCGTTCTCCGACACCTACAGCCCGCCCAGGTCCCCACACTCATTGGCTGGTTCCTCTCCGCCCCGCCCCTCCCGATTGGCTCCCCGCCCGCCCCGCCCCCCAGCGGCGCCCAGGTGTGGGCGGGGTCGCGGCCGCGAGGGGCGGGGTCGCCGGGGCGGGGGGCGGACCGGCCGGGCCCACGCACGCTGAAAGCGCGCGAACAACGCGGAAGCGCCGCTGCAGCCCCGCGGCGAGCGGCCGGCGCGTCCGGGCAGGTGCTTGGCCCCGTGCCCAGCCTGCCTTCCATAGGGCGGCTCTGTCTGACGGCTCTCCGGGCCATGGAAAGAACTCTGGCTGGGGATCTCGCAGTTCCAGTCTGTGCACAGAAGACACCCGGGCCTGCCTGGCCAGGGCCGCCCTGGCCCCAGTGGGCCCCCGCCGACCCTGCTCCATCAGGGCCTTTGGCGGCAAACCTGGGACGCAGAAGGCTCCAGGCCCGTAGGAGAGGTGGGCTGGGACTGGGGCGGAGGCTGGTGTGCGGTCGACCTCCCTTCAGCTCCAGCCAGACGGACTGCTCTGGTGGGGGAGGAGGCCTGCCCGAGGCAGCCTGGGACGAAACCCTGGGCTCTTTGTCTGAGCTCCTTCGCCCACCCCTTCCCGCCTCCCTCAGGACTGCCCTGGGGCGGGGTGGCCCCTGCCCTCCCTCCTGTGGGCACACCGAGAGGCGGATTAGAAACCTCCTTTTGCCCTCCCGGGCTGGTGGTCCACAGACCCAATAGGCAGCCAGAATTCCTCAAAGCCTGGTGGGGGCTGTGTGGATCTGCAGCAGTCTGAGCCCCTTCTTGGTTATGGTGCGGGGTGGGCAGGGAGGCCCCACCTGAGCAGTCAAAGTCAAGGGTGGGGGCTAGGTCTAGGGAACTGCGGCAGCGATCCTCACAGTTACCGGAACCTTTGGCTCTGTGAGGTGGCCCAGTGGTCAGGAGGGTGTGGAGATGGGCTTGGGGGAAGGTGAGGCTTCCCGTAGGTGAGTGCAACCCACTTAGGCACTTAAGGCAGAGCCTTGTAGGAAGGCTCAGCGTGGTCCTGCCCCAGCTGCCCCCCCATCCACCCCAGTGAGGTCCACATTCCCAGGAGTGCTGTCCCACCTGCTTGAGGACACACCTACACCCACACTTGGTACACACTCACAGGACAGCAATGCCCCCAATGGCCATTGATCCCCAAATCAGGCTGTGGGAGCCTCTCCCAGACTAGGGTCGAGTGGTTGGCTGTGACAGGGCCTGTGGGTTGCTCTGGTCCCCTTAACCTGCTCAGGTTGGTTGGGCAGCGGCTCAGTCTCTCATGGCTTCTTTGGCTGGCCTGGCTCCCCAGGAGGAAGTAGGCCCAGAATTCACTGAGTGTCCTGGTCTGGAGTGGCCCTGGAATCTTCCGGTAACAAAAGGCCCCTCCCTTGCTGGGTGCCAGTATCCATGACAACAAGTAGAGCCCCTCCCTTTTCAGGCTTGCTTGGCACTCAGGTCTCAGGTGAGTGTTGGGGGTGGGGCCCTGGGCCTGGTGGGGGGGCATGAGAGTACAGGCTCCAGGGACAAAGGGCCTGCACCTCTGAGAGCCCCTGCTACATAGGCTGAGGGCTGGGCCAAGGGTGACAGGATCATGAGCACACACAGGTGACATATTGAGACACACTGGACGGTGTCCTGTTGGGTTGAGTGACACCCTGGAGAGCTCAGTGCAGACTCTGGCTCCACCACTTCCTAGCTTCCCGAGAACATGCAGAATGGCTCCTGAGTCTCACCAGGCCACTAGAGAAGCTGAAGAGGCTCTCCCATCTCTGGCGAGCAGAGAGCCGGGGTGTGGTGGCCTAGGGCCTCCGGCTGGAGCACCACAGGATCCCATGGCTCCCACAGGCCAGCAGGACACCAAGCCCCAGGCCACAAGGGTCTTCCCCAACAACCCACAGTAAGGAAGTAGGGTTGGGGGGAACATGTGGTCATCATTCGGGCAGAGCTACCCAGAAGGCAGGCCCTGATGAAGGTGGGGGGTTGGCCTTGCAGGGCCGCCCCTGAGTCCTTGGACCCCCGCACCCTACGGCTGCTGTGGGGACAGCGGGAGCTGGAGATCCAGGCCCTTCGGTGGGCTGTCCAGAGCGGCCGGGATGATCGGCACAACTACATCCTGGAGGAGGTCGCTGGGCTTCCCCCAGACAGGTCAGGAGCCAAGTGCCAGCCCAAAGGGACCCTCTGCTCCAGCCCTAACCTTTGTTCTGGCCTCACCTCCTACATTCTGTCTGACCCCAACCACTGAATCCAGCTAGGTCTCCAAATGGAAGCCCAGTCCTGACCCTAATCCTGGTCTTTGCTTCTAGACTTAGTCTTTGCCTGACCCTGCTTCCATTCTAATCCTGGACAAGTCAATACACGAGGAACTTGCTTCAGACCCTAACCCTGGGCTTGCCTACAGAGGCTGGCCAGATGGGGGTCCCTGCCTAGGGCCAGACCCAGCCCCTGCCCCCCACCTGGAACTCACCTAAGCGCAACCTGTAAGAGCTGAACCTGCCTGGCCCCAGCCCTTCAGCCAAGGAGCTTGGCTGCACCCTGGTCCTCGGGCTCTGTGGCAGTGAAAAGGCCTCTCTTGCCCCCTTCTTGACTGCTGAGTATAAGCTCTGGTAGCATAGTGACTAAGGCACTTGACTGCTAACCAGAAGGCTGGCGGTTCAGACCCACCAGCCACTCCTCGGAAGGAAGAAGGGTCAATCTACTTCCATAGTGATACCGCCTCGGAAACCCAGGAGGGGTCGTTATGAGTCGGATCCGACTCAATGGCACATAACAACAACAACACTGAAATCCAGCCTGCCTCCCAAAACAAAGAAACAAACAAACCTACTGCCATCAAGTAGGTTCCGATTCACAGCGCCCCTAGAAAACAGAGTAGAATTGTCCTGTAAGGTTTCTAAGGTTTGAAATCTTTGCAAAAGCAGACTGCCTCATCTTTGGCTGATGGCTTAGAACCTCCGCCCTTTAGGTCAGCAGTCGAATGCCTTAACTGCGGCTCTACCTGGGTTCCTTGCCTCCTCCCAGAAGCTCCCGAAATCAGGAAAAGGTCCTACAGAACCTGGTGCAGAAGCTGACACTGGAGCTGAACGAGCAGAAGAATCTAGCCCAGCTGGTGAGGGGGCTCGCCGGCAGGGACCCAGCGCGGTCAGCGGCAGGGCTGTGCGGGTGAGGGACCAGGCAAGGGTCAGGCTTAGGGGCTAGGTGGGGCCAGAGGCCAGGCAGCGGCTGGCCCAGCCGGGAGGGCTGGGGAGGGCGGGCCGGGCGGAGGCCCCGCCCACCAGCCCCGCCCCCAAGCAGGAGAAGGAGCAGCTAGAGCAGCGGCTGCAGCAGACCACGCAGGCGCTGCAGCAGCTGGAGGAGGAGCTGCAGGCCTTCCAGAAGTCCTGCCTCCTGCGGCTGGCCGCCTCCTCCTGGGTGGGCCGCATTCTGCGGTCCCAGACCGGCAGCATGGAGGTGAGCCAGTGCCCCCCCCCGCCCCCACGTCGCCCTTCCCTGGATCAAGCGCACGCCCCCTCCAAACCGGTGCTTATGCTGGGCGGAGGGACCGTGTGCCCTGGGGTCCGGCCCACCTGCTGTTCAGCAAGCGTGGAAGTCTAGGGGGAGAGGTGCTGTGGGGGGAGGGATGCCCCTCTCCCCAGCCTCTGCCTTCTGGTCTTGGCCCCCTCTTGTAGGTGGTGACAGCAGAGACCTTAATGGACCCCAGTGACTCCTCTGAGAGTGAGCTGCCCCCCACCGGTGGGGAGGTGAGTGAGCCCCCCCACACACCGCTGGGGAGGTGAGGGAGGCTCCCACCCCCAACCTGCTGTCAGGGCTCTGAGCCCTAAGGGATCAGGGGGTGGGGGTGGGGAGGGCCACGTGCCTGTTGTTTTCTGGCCAGGGTTTCCAGCTGAAGGATGTGGACTGGAACAGTGTCGCCCAGCGGTACCCCAACCTGTTTACTGAGGCAGCCCTCTCAGAGCACAAGTAACTGGCTGGGCCAGAGGCCCCCCAGGGACCGGGAGGGTCTTGGAGTTAGGTCTGGCCTTTGTTGCTGGTGTGGCTTAAACCCTCCCAGCCTCAGTTCCCTGATCTGTAAAACCTAGCCGTGCTGGTCTCAGGACCAGCCAAAGGGCACTTGCCCTGGGCTTGCAGCTGGGTTCCAGGTACCCAGACACAAACTGGTATGCTCCCACCTGTCCTGGGGGGCGTGGTGGTGGTGGGACAGAGTTGGCTCTCTGGGGCCAAAACCAGAACCCAGCAAGCAGAGCCTGGCCCACAGGCAGCCACGGCCACCACCACAGCCCCCGCAGTACGAATGGGACTCCAAGTCACCCCTGGAACACATGCAGAGCCACACTAACAGCGTGGGGTGGAGCGCCCTGCCCCTGTCAGACTCCAGCAGCTCCGGGACCACAGATTCCGACTCCAGAAGTTCCGAGCTGTCCAGGCCCTCTCCTGTGGAGAAGGTAACAGGACACCCACCTGAAGACCTGCCCCACTTCTCCTTCAAACGGACCGAGGCAGAGAAGACCCTCACGACAGATGTGCCCACAGGACCTGCAGGTGCAGTGGGCGGATCTCTGGCTCCCACTACCCCAGGAATGCCCTCCGGCGCAGGCAGGGCTGCGATTCCCAATGTGTGGCGGGGCAGGCTGTTGTCCTGTGACTTTCCCAGGCTTGGGCAGTAGGGCTCAGCAGTGGCACCCTGAGGCTGTGGTCAGCCTGGCCTGCCCCCTGCCCACAAGTACTAGGGGTGCCCCTCCAGCTCGCTAGGCCTCCAATCTGATCATGGGCGTTGCCCCCTCTCGTGGACGCTCAGGGTGCTGCAGGTGGGTCCTGGCCGCAGAGTCCATTTTCAGGCAGCCCTACAGAGGGGGCTCCCATCGCAGACAGGCCTCCTCTCCCTAGATCTCAGAAAAGCCCTCGTGGACCAGCCCAAACACATCATCCTGCCATCCGAGGCCACTGAAGACTGCAGCAACCTGCCTTCTGGGTACCGCAGAAGGTGAGGGGCTGGGTGGACCTGGCAGCTGTAGGGGTGGGCTGGGCTGGCGTCTCGGCACAGTGCCCCCTCCTGCAGACTGCTAGGCTCCTGCCTGAAGATTGTGGCTGTCAACCGCCGTGAGAAGTTCATTCGTGTCCTTAACCAGTCACTGGAGGAGACAGTGAATCTGGACGGCTTCGTGCTGCAACAGCTTGTCCGCAACTTCCCTGTGTGCATGTACCGCTTCCCACCTGAGACGCTGCTGAAGCCGCTGCACCATGTCACGGTGCGCCCCCCGTGTGCCGCCAACCCACCAGCCCTCCCCAGCTCCCTGCCCTGACTGCCGTCCCTCTCCGCAGCCCTTCATTCAGGTCCTCGGTCCCCACAGGTGTGGGGTGAGGGGGCCAGCAGCACCAAGAAGCACCCGCTAGAGTCCTTGGGCAGGAAGTCGGTCTACTACCACTCCAGCCGTGGCTTTGTGACCCTCCTGCTGAACCCCAAGGGCGAGGTGAGTGTGGGCCATGGCCTAGGGGAGCAGCCTCTAGGGGCAGGAGTGAACCCGGGGTCCTTTCACGCCCTGCAGGTCCTTAGCGAGTATCAGGCCCCGCACTGTGTGACCCCTGTCTCCAAGATCTCTGACGACACCGACTTGTCCATCGACCGCTTCCCTCTTTCCAAGGACCCTCCGGGCGCTGACACCTGCCAGCGGCGGTGCCAGTCTCGGCCCCAGCACAAGGGCAGTGCTCGGAAGTCCTGGGCGGAGCGCTGGAGGCAGAGGTGGGGCACATGTGGTCCTTGGTGGGCGCCTCCCTGCAGGCCTTGAGCCTCCTCCAGATCCTGCCCACAGCTGTCCAGGCCTCTTCCCGCTAGGACCGCCTCCAGGGTCCAAACTGGGCCTTGGCTAGGACCGCCCTTCCAACCCCCAGGCCTACCCCCTTCACCCCGACCGTTTCCCTGGCCCCCACCTCCCCGGGCCCTGCCCCCGCCTCTCCAGGGTTCGCCTTCTCCTTCTAGGCCTGCCCTTTCTCCCAGGCAGGCCTGGACCCTCCGGACCCCATCACCCGAGCAGGACGCAGGTCTTCCTGCCCCACCTGAGGCCCAACAAGCCCATCCATCCGCGAGAGGCGCTGGGGCGGGCCGAGGGTGCCGACACCCTGGAGCCCCTGCCCACCATCCCGGGTGAGGGCGTGCAGGCCCGGAGGGGTGCGGGGCTGGCAGGACGCGGGCCATCCTTCTCCCGCACACAGGCCAGGCCGGGCCTCGACCACAGCCAGGCCAGGGAGGAGAACACGGTCCGGGTGAGAACGCGCCTAGTGCGGCTGGGTGTTCTTGGCCTCACCGCGCCCTGCCCCTGGCCGCCGCGCCCCGCCTCTCCGCCTCACCAGGCCCGCCCCTCCGCCTCACCAGGCCCGCCCCTCCGCCTCACCAGGCCCGCCCCTTCCCAGGTGTGCCGGAAGGGCGTGGACCGGAGCTGCCCCATGGTGGCCCTGTCGGTCCAGCGCACCGCCCAGAGCAGATTCGGCTTCCGCTTTCTGTGCTGCCCTCCCATCACTGCGGACTCGTGCGGGCGGGTGTAAGCGTCGCGCGAATACACTCGTCTCCGCTCATCCAGCCGTCTCGGTGACTCTGGCGGCGGCGCCGGGGCGTGCAGCGCTGGGCGCCGGGGCGGAGAGCTGGGAGGTGGGGCCTCGGGGGGCAGCGCGCGCCGCGGGAGAAGGCGGAGGAGGCGGGCGGCGTCCGCTCCATAATTTATTGAACTAGCGTTGCCTACAGCGTAAAACACAGTTTTGCACACCTGAGAATCCAAAATGATTCCTTTGGTCGCCGGTGCGTCCCGCTCCACTGGCCTTCCCCCGCGTGGAGAAACCGGCTGGGACCGAAGGCCTGGCCACGCCCCGGCCGTGAGCGTCGGGCACCGGGTCCACCGCGGTCGGTCGTCGAGGGTTCAGCGCTCAGAACCCGAGTTAATCCCAGAGGCCAGTCGGAGGGGCTGCCGAGGGTGGGGCGCACAGGGGAGGGCAGCTAGGTCCGCAGTGCAGGCTGCCATGCGAAGCTCTCCCGACAAGACCCGACTCATGCCGGCCTCAGCCGCAGCCGCGCTCACCAAGTGCAACCACAGCAGGCAGCTGGGCGGCTGAGGGGAGCCTGCCGCCCCGCCCAGTCTTAGTCTTTGCCACCCGCTGACTCATCACCACCCCCTGGTTCCCGTCCTCAGGGAGCCTCATCAGGAGCCAGGCTTCCCCCCACCCCTCACACACCAAGAGTCCAGGCCGCATGGCCACAGGTGTCCCTTTGTCCTGGTCCAGGTGAGCTTGGCAGTGGGTGGGGGTTTCCACTAAGGATGGGCATGGGTTAGGGTGATGGGGTCTGGGGCCAGCATGCACTGCAGGCCTTGGGGTCCAGTTGCGGCATCCGAGACTCGCTGTGGCGCAGAGTGCCCCTGGGCTCTTGGGCCCTGGTCGGAGGCCACATCCAGGGCTCTGAGGACAGTCACAGCTGCGACCCCCTGTCCCAGGCCTCTGAGCCGACGCCCCCTGAAGTGCTGTTCTGTGGGCCCCCAGGGGCTAGGGCCTGAGTCCGGTGGCATTGGGTACTTGGGGGGCGAGGGGATCAATTTACAGCCCAAGGCCCTAGAGAGCTCTGGAAAGCAAGGAGGTAGGCAGACCCTCAGCCCAGGCCCAAGCCCACCCCAAGCCCTGCCCCCGAGGCCAATGAAGGGGGTCACCGGGCCAGGAGGTGGTGGGAAGATGGGGGGGGTGAGAGGGCAGGAGTAGCCAGAGATGGAGGGCCTCCCTCCCACCTCCTGGCTCCCGGGGCAGCACCCTCTAAACTCCCAGGCTCCTACTTCCCTTTGCCACACCCCTTCTGTTCCTGTGTTGTCCACGAGATCTGAGACTTCACTGTTTGCACCAGTATCTGTCCACCTCTAGGGCAGGCAGGGAGCCCTTTAAGCCTGGGCCCCGTTGTCCCTGACTGGTGGCCTGGAGCCAGTTCCTAAGCCACCTCTGTAGAGTGAGGTCTTGGAACTTACTCTATGCCGACTGGGCAGCGTGGTCACAAGTGTTCCCAGAGCCAGGACACCTTGGCATCTGTTCCTGGCCAGACCAGCCACCTCTTCCTCCTGGCCCTGCCTGCTCTCGTTCCACCTCTGTGATCCCTCCCCACATCTCCAACTCCCCAGTCCCAGCCAGGGTGGGCTGCAGACCCCAGGAGCACAGTGGGCCCACCCTGTTCCCTGACCCATGGGAGATGGTCATCTGGCCAACGCTGAGAGCCTGCATCCCTGCCGCCTGTGGGGGGCTTTCCTTTGGGGAGCAGACCTAGGTGAGGTCCTGAAGGCCCTGTGCTTGCAGCACTTAAGCTGATGTCACTCAGCAGCCATGGTCCCTCAGTGAGGCACCCCCCTGCCTTGATCCTGCATCCCCATCCATGAGCTGGCCCCCAACTCTGCTCACACCTCCCTTTTCTGGAATTTTTTTTCTTGGATCCACCAGACCAGATTTTGTGGAGCAGGGTGGGGGTGAGGGGTGGAGTGGAGAGGGGTGAGGGATGCAGAAGATGAGGGGGGAAAGGAGGAGTGGCAGTGATGGCACTGCTCAGTGCAGCCCCTCCCTCCATGGTGAGCCCCCACCCCCGGAACAGGATCTCCCTGTCAGCCTTTCTGAGGAAGAAGGGGCCCCATCCCCAGGAGGGTGTTGGGGGGAAGACTCAGTACCTGGGTCTGGGCTGGGAGGCCCGGGGGCAGCCTGGGACCCAGCCCTATCGTCTTGTGCTTCCGGGCCCCTTGGTGGACCTTGGGGTGCTGCTGTCGTATCCTTTGGGGATTCCTGGTGTCTACAGGGGAGGGGGCTGGAGTGGGGAGAGGACAAGAGCTGCTGCCTTGAGCTGCCCCAGGGGCAAATCCTTCAGCCATGGGGGGAGGAGGACTGGGCGGGGCCTGGCAGCCCTTGGCTTTTCCACCCACTAGGCAGGGCACCCACCGAAGGCACAGCTCCCTCCAGGTGCGGAGTTTGGTCAAGGCCAGGAGATCAGGGCAGTCTGTAGGATCCGGTCCTGTGGCAGCCCTTTGGCTGGGCAGCTTTTCCAGGGGTGCAGGCACCCAGGCCTGGGGAGGGAGAGGGCTGATTTTTGGGGCTACAGCCTGTGATGGGGGGGAGTCACCTGGAGTTGCAAGGACTCACTCGGTTTGGGTGGGGGTTGGAGACAGGCCCCAGGCCCAGCATGGCTAGAGGCCATTGTACTGCCCGGACAGAGACCTTGGACCTCAGCCTGGATCTACAACCTTGGCTGTGGTCGTGGATGCTGGCCCATGGGAGGGGACTGGGGTCCTGGTTGCTGATCCATTAGGGGAGGTCTGGAGGGGGCCCTGGACACTGGTCCACAGGTGGTGTGGAACCCTAGATACTGATCCACGGGGGACTGGGGCCCTGGACGCTGCCACGAGCAGTGGGTTGTACCTGGCACTGGTGTTTCCGCTCCCGCAGGCCTTTGGTGGGGTTCCCACAGAGTACGTGGCTGGTGCCTGGGGAAGAGTGTGTGGACCTGGGCTTGGGTCAGGGGCTAAGGGCTGCAGGGCTGGCTTCAGGCCAAGGAGGGTCAGTTACCATGCGTGAGGTTGCTAGCGTCATCTGCTGGGGCCGGGTCCTCGGGCAGCAGGCCTTCTGGCAGAGGGCCCCCAGGAAGCAGTAGGGAGAGGGGCCAGGGTCTGGGGGGCCGGGTCTGGGCCTTGGGCAGGGACAGCATGGGGCCTAATCGCCACATGGGAGCTCCCTGGGGACGATCTGCTGAGGTCAGGATTGGAGGTCACTGAGGCCTACGGCAACAGGAGCAGCCCAAGACCCACCCCACTGTCTGCAGGCCAGTGACCCCCAGAAGCTGTGTGTCCCAAGGACCAGTGAGACAGGCTTGCCAGCTGTGGCCTCAGCTTCCATCTGCTTCCAGAGACCCTTGGCTCAGACCCTTCTCTTTTGGCTGAGGGGTGAGAGGCCCAGACAAGACCAGGCCCCAACAGGTGCTGCCCAAGTGAGAGGGTATGGCCTAGACAGACTCTGGGGACCGGGCAGGGGAGTGCACAACGTAACCCCTGAAAAGTTGGGGGGCTATGAAGACCTCTCCTTGGGAGGGGTGTGGAGACCTTCTCTTCATTGGGGGGGGTGGCGGGGCGCCGAGACCTCTCCACTGCGGGTTGGTGGTGGGGCCTGCAGGCCAGCTGTGTGCCGTGTGGAGGGTTGGGTGTGGCCGCATACCCAGCCCGGGCAGAGGGCCATCGAGGACGCTGCCCTCCCTGATGGCCTGCTGCACCAGGAGTCGGTCCTGGATCAGTGTCCCGGCTGCTGGCAGACCCGTCTGTGTGGCAGGGGCCTCGTCCAGGACCTGCAGCTGGGGAATAAGTTTCCGTACCTCTGCCCTGTAGTTGTAGCCCTGGGGTGCCTGCAGGGGTGAGAGGCAGGCCTGGGTCCTGGCTCCATCCCCTAGACCTGAATGGGGCAGGGAAGCCAGGATTGGGATGCCTGTGGTCAGTCTCAGATGCCAGGGCCTGCAGGAGCCCTAGGCTCTTGGCTCTCAACCACTAGGAGCAATGGGCCCTCTAGCCTGGAGAGCTTCCCTGAGCTCAGGGGTTTGACCTTGCTGGATGGGTGCTGTGCACTGGGTGGACCTCAGGCACAGCCTCCCATGGGCAGCATCACTGAACAGAAGCCAGGTGGGGTTGGGGGATGGATGGTGTGAGCTCAGGTGCTGAGGGACCATCGTATTGTGGATGCTGGGGTTGGGGACAGGCGATGCGTGTTCCCTGGGGGTGTGCACAGTTGGTGTGTGGGGAGGTCCTTCCCCATGCTGTGAGCAGGGGCCTTCAGAGGATGTGGGTGGTCCTAGAAGAGTGCACACAGGCGTGTGTGTACACAGTTCTGTGTAGACCCTACCGCTGAGGGCGGAGATGTGGGGAGTGATGTGTGCTCATGGGTGGTGTGGGGTCTGTGGCTGAAGACACCACGCTGGTGCCACGGACACAAAGCTCATGGGGCAGCAGACTGGCTGTGCCCTGGGAAGGCCTCCGGTCAGGTCCTGGGGCTGGGTGGAACTTGGTAGAGTTCAGGTGAGTGGACAGGTACCCAGGCCTGGGAGGGCTGAGGGCTGGAGCTGCAGGACAGCTCCCCGTCCCATGCACCTTGTTGGAGGGCCCAGGGCCTGGCTGCAGGCACACCGGGTTGCCTTCCAGGGTGAGCGTGGCCAGCCGCGGACACAGCCGCAGGTAGTGCACCTGGCCCAGGTCCTCCACACTGTTGCCCTCCAGGTCCAGCACTTCCAACTGCTCAAGCAGGCACAACGGGCTCAGGTCTGAGACATTGTTGTACGACACATACAGCTCCTGGGGCAGCATAGGGATGGGAAGGGTGTCAGGGAAGGGTGTCAGCTGGGGCCACGCCCCGCGCCCCTCCCCCAGCCTGGGCACCAAGCACTCACCTTCAGGGCTGGGAAGGAGCTGATACCGTCCAGGTCAGGCAGGCCACAGCAAGCCAGCCAGAGCACCTGTAGGTGGCCCAGGGATGTGCCTAGGTCTCTGCAGCAGGCAGAGGGGAGTGGTCAGTGCAGTCCTGGGGTGCAGGGGAGCGGCCGGGCTGTGTCCCACAGCCAGCCTGCCTGTCTCCAGGGAGATGGGCAGGAGCAGTGTGACAGTGGCTGTGGAGGCCCCCAGATCAAGGAAGGGGTTCTAGAGCCTCAGGCCACCTGCCTTCCCTCTTTGCTGCAGCGTCTTGGTCAGGGCTAGGAGAGGGGTCTGGACATGGAAGCAGTAGGGTGCCTTCTGCCCTCTCTGACCCCTGGAGGGCCTGGGCCTGGCCATGGGGAGCTGCTAGGTGCTGGGTGGCTTGGCCCAGCCCCAGCTACTGTCCACTGCACTGGGGGTGGGCAAGAATGCTCCTTCCCCAGTGGGGTCTGTGGAGGGAGCTGAGCCTTCACCCCTTCCATTTCCCCTCTCTGTACACCCATTTCTGCTCCTCTGCAGACGATGGCCAGAGGTCCCCACCTCTGCCCGTCAGGATCCTCTCTGCTTGGCTGTCGCATTATCTCCTGACCTGGGTGTGGGCCTGTGGTTGCATGTCCTTCCAAATGGTCCTTGTCTGTGGGGTATTTTTGAATGTTGTTTCTTTGGTGTCTTCTCTGTTCTCAGAGCTCATGCCATCAGATGTTGGTCCTCTGAGACTGGTCTACTTTCTCTTTATCTCTTCTTTCCTATTTTCATCTCTCTGCCTTTTCTCTGGCTTTCTGAGAGATTTCATCACCTTCCTCTTCCAACCTAGGAGCTCTGGCAGTGCAATGCCTAAGGCATTTGACTGCTAACCAGAGGCTGGTGGTTCAAACCCCCCAGCCACGCCTCAGAAGGAAGATTGGGCAATCTACTTCTGTAGAGATACCACCTCAAAAACCCAAGGAGGTGTCGCTATGAGTCAGATTCAACTTGACGGCAGTGAGTTTCGTTTTGTTTTTTGGTATCATACTTTTAATTTCCAAGAGCGTGTCGCTGTTCTCTGGTCCTTTTTCATAGCACACTGTTCTTGTTTTATGGCAACAATATCTCCTTCCATGTCTCCAATAATATTAAGTGAAGGTTCCTTGGGAACCCCACCCCATCTCTGTTTCCTATGAGTCCCTTTTGATTGTTTTTGGTTTTTCGCTTTCATGATGCAGGTGGCATAATGCCTCTGATGATAGCTTCTTGGGCATTGGGACTTAGAAGTTGGGTGTGGTTGTCACTGTTGCCGTTACTGAAGAACAAGCACACTTGCACACAGTTGGATCTGATTGCTCTTTTGGCATTGATGTGATGTTTGGGGTTGTCTCAGGTGGGATACCTTCCTTTTGTTTCTCTGTCATAGTCTTCACTGTACACGTAGATACTTTATTGTTCCTTGAGCTCAACGGTTCCCTCAACTATGATAACTTTTCATTAGTGTATTTTGTTAAGCTAAAGAAAGTACTATCATCTCTGTTAAAGTAGTATGTAATCCTCTAGAAAGATTGTTTTCCAAATCTTGACTGACTGTCAATTCAGTTTCCATTGGAGGGCCTGTTGCAGTTTGGTGTGATTTTCAAACTGCACGTTCTCTCTAGGTCTGAGGCTGTCCAACCAAACCCAACCCACTGCTGTGGAGTGGATTCCAACTCACAGTGCCCCTGGAGGACAGAGAACTGCCCCACAGGCTTTCTAAGGATGTCAATCTTCAGGGAAGCAGACTGCCTCATCTTTCTCCTGCAGAGTGGCTGGTGGGTTTGAACCACCGACCTTTTGGTGAGTAGCTAAATGCTTTAGCCAGAGCCGCTCCAGGCCGCCCAGTGAGGGCCAGTTTTGTTCACTTCCACTTCCTGATCTCCCTGTGCTCTGCTGACCCCATCCTGAAGCTCATGGAGAAGTCGTAGCGCAAGGGAGGAGAGGACATTTAAGGACAGATTGTGTGACAGATTGCTCAGTCACTGCATCTGACATTACCGAGCACAGTGACTTAGAGCCCTGTTAAAACTTCTGGAGAAACTTCTAGAATTTTGGTTGGAAGCTCCCTGCCCTGGCCTTGCATGTGAAGCCTCGGTGTTCCTAAGAAGCTTGCTTTGTTGCTTAGTGAACTCTGGTTCTTTCCTGCCTGATGAGATGGCACAAACATTAAACTGTCTTGAGCTTTGAATTGTGGACATGTGGTTACTAATTATAACACATGAGTGTGATGGCATGGGGCTTTTCAAGCGTTTTTTGCTGCTGTTTGCTTTCCGTGAGCTCGGAGGTCCGGCTTCTCTTCAGCAGGAAGGTTCTGGCTATGGGTCTGGCCTCAGCAGGCAGTGGCCCTGTGGACAGCGCCCTCCTCTGTCCATCTGCTCTTCTTGCTGGCCATAGGTGGTGGGGGACACAGTGTGTCCTCACTCCTGGCTCCCAGCCAGGCTACAGTGCTGGTATGGGGATGCCTGTAACTCACTGAAGCCTTGGCTACTCTGCGGTGCCAACCAGAGACCCCCCTCAGTGCTCCTCACTATGGTGCCATCTTTGCCTGGAGGTCAGTGAGAGACTTTTGGACCCCCCTTGTGGGTCCTTGCAGACTTCATGGGGCTTCCTTGAGTTTTTACTCTGGCCAATCTTGGGGTGGGGGGTGTGCAAGAACTCCATGTACCAGTCAGACTCAAAAAAACCCTCAAGAATGGTGGGCATCATCAGGGCCCCAGAATGTCCCCTTTGAACATCAGGCCAGGAGCCGGAGCCAGGAGGACACATCAGAGGTCAGGCCAGCCCCCCAGGACATACCCTGCACTGTGGGAATGTCCTAGACTCCTCCATGTGCCACTCAGGAATTAGTGGTCACTCGGGCAAGCAAGGGACGGGGAGACAGGAATGGAGGACTCCTGGCGGCATCAGGGTGCCAGGGACTCTTCATCCCAACTCCTCCCCCACCCCCTACTGAGGACTCACCACTCCTGCAGGACCCCTCCCTAGGGACCCCAAGGTGGGATGCTCACCTCACAGAGGCCAGGCAGCTGCCATTCAACTTCAGTTGGCTCAGGTTGGGCAGGTGTATACCTGGGGCACAGGAAGAAGAGGCTGGTGGCAGAGCCCCTGGGCCACTCTGCCTAGTCCCCTCTGTACTCTTATTCATTCTGTCCTCTGGGGATGCCACCTGGACTGGCTGAGGAGGGGCTGGGCCAGAGGAGCCCCTGCAGGGGACAGGGCGGCCCTGTGTAGCTGCTCCCAGGGCCACGGCCTCCTCTGGCTGCCCTGGTCTTGGCACCCTCAGAGCCATAATCCCCACCTCTGCAGCCTGAATGAAGGGGCACCAGGCAGGGCAAAGAAGGCACACCCAAGAGGACAAGGCCAATGGGCCGCCCCACTGAGCCGCCTCCACGCCCATCGCCTGGCATCACGGGTGCCCAGATGGTGGCCTCCATCAGCATTGCATGTGCCAGCGTGCCCTGTGTGGCCCTGGTCTGCAGGAAGGGCTCAAGGTACCAGTTACTTTGTAGGGTGGGGCACCAACCCCTGTGACTCAGAGTCCCTAAGCCCTAGGGGGTAGACACGGAAGTGGAAGAGCCCGCAGCTCCATGGCCAAGCATGGGGGCAGGGCACTGGGGATGACGGCATAGTCAGGGAACAGAGACACTTGGGGACCCTTCTCTGCCTTAAAAGACTCCCTAGGACAGCTGCAAATTCGAACAAGGTCTACAGATGGGTAAGGGGCAGTGGTGAGGTTGTCCTGATGGGTCATTACTGTGGGTGTGTGCAGAGGGCCCTGTTCTCAGGAAGCGCACCCAGGAGACCACGGATGGGGGAGCGTTGTGCGGATCAAGGGAAATATCAGCCTCCTGAGTGGGGGTATGGGTGCACGTGTGTGTGTGTGTACTGTGTGTGTGCACACATCTGAGCGCATGGGTGCATGCGTGTACTGTGGGTGTATACACATGAATGCACACATGTGCAAGAGTACTGTATGTGTGCACAGGAGTGTGCATGTGTGTACTGTTGAGTATACACACAAGTGAATGCACACATGTGCATGTGTATACGGTATATTGTGCATACATGTGTGTACACATGCATGTGCTGTGCTAAGTGCACACGTCTGTGTGCATATACACGAGCTATGTGCAAATGTGTGCACATGTCTGCTGTGTAGTGTGCACACATGTGACTGCACGTGTCTGTACTGTGTACATGTGCTACATGTGAGTTTGTGGGTTCATGTGTACAAGTGTGTGTACATGTGTGGGTGCATATGTGAGACCATGTTTTACTGTGTGTGTTCATGTGCTTATGTGTGTACACACGTGAGACTGTGTGTTGTGTGTATGCATATGTGCGTCTGTGTGCACACATGTGGGTGCACATGAGACCAAGTATGTACTGTGTGTATACACATGTGCATAGGTTTGTGTGTGTGCACATGTGAAGACCATGTGCGCTGTATGTGTACGTGTGTGCAGTTTGGAAAGGGGGAGAGAAAGGAAGCAAAGAGACCAACCATGAACAATAGGACCTGGTAAAGCGTACAGTGAGGGCTTGTACTGTCCTTGCAACTTTTCTGTAAGCTCAAAGCCATTGTAAAATAAGGTTCAAAAGCACATGATAACAAGATGTCATTTTACTTGTTACCATGTTAGCCTCTGCTGATGCACAGTGCTGGGCAGGTGCAGGGCACTGACCACTGTGTCCACGGTGACGCCAGCCTGCTTGCAGCCAGAATAGTCCCTGGTTGTGTTCACAGAGGTCACAGGGGCTGAGAGGTAGGGGTGGTGGGTGGGCTCTCACCAAAGTTCCCCAGGCTGTTCTTGCGAGTGTCCACACACATCTCCAGCATGCTGACCATACGCAGGTCGTCCACCTGGGCCAGAGCCTGCTGCAGAAACCAGCGAGCACTCAGCCTGGGGCTGCCTAGGGCCTCAGCCACGCCCCCTCCCAACCACACTCAGGCCTGGGCTGTGGGACTTGGCAGGCACCCTTGGGGCAGGCAGGCTGTGCAGGGCTCTGCCCAGTGAGGTGGGAGTGGGTGTGCTGTGAGCAGAGCGTGCTTGGGGGTGAGGCCGTCCCCGGAGAAGAGCAAGCCCCACGAGCTGCTGGCTTCAAAGGAGACATACGGGGCAGCCCAGCAGAGTCTGGAGCATGGAGCCCAGTGCCACCACCCTCCACTGGGTCACAGCTTCCACCCTGTGATAAGAACATACTTGGGCCGTAAGCCACTGTGTGCTGGGCTTGTCTATCAACAACCCCATCACTGTGGCAACAGCTGACTCAAACGGAGGTGGGACCCAGAGTGGTGCTAACTAACAGCCACCATGACAAAACCTAACCTACATGTGCATGCATATGCATGTATTCACATGTGTGTGTCTATATGCACGCACATACCTGTACCATGCAGTATTGGTACATGCATGTAAATGCCTTATTGTGTACACACATCTGCATGTATGCATAATGCACGTGTGTACATGTGTATGTATGTGTGTGCACATATGTCCGCATGTGTGGGGGTATGTGTGGGTGAGTGTGGGGGTGTGTCTCTGTGTGTATGTGTGTGCACATGTGCTGTGTGTGTACAGGTATGTACTTAGCACCGGGTGGTGGGAGTGGTGTGACTGTTATTGGAGCTGGAAAGATGGTGACCCCTTATGTGAAGGTGAAGCATCTGCGACCTGTGAACATGAGGCCATGCATGAGTGGGTCCTGATCCCATTGAGTGGTGTTCTTAGGAAGCAGGGGAAGAGACAGAGACAAGGAGACAGAAGGAGGACATCATGTGACACTACAGCTGACAGCCAAGGACTGCCAGGGCCACCACAAGCTGGGAGGAGGCAGGAGCACACCGTCCCTCGGACCTTCAGAGGCATCACATGGCCAACACCTTGACCTTGGACTCCCAGTCCTCAGAATGGAGGGGGAATGAACTCTTGTTCCTCAAGCCCTCCAGTGTGGTAATCTGTTACAGCCACCCCAGGAGGCTGGGACACAGTCTAATTGAGGGATGCTGATCAGCAGTGTCAGCCCTGTGGGACAGCGGCCACCTGGCAGTCTCCCTCCCTTGCCAAGGCCCTGCCCACCACAGTAGCTGGTACACAATTTCTGGTCTTCTTATGCCCATGGGTCTCTTGGAAAGACCTTTTGTGTGGCTGGATGTGTGTTTTGCAAATATTGTCTCACAGAACCCTGGGTCCCTGACCTGTGATTAGCAGAGGCCTGGGTTTGGGGCTGGTCACTTTTCAGAGCCTTTACTCCCCACTAGGAGCCAGAAGTGTGTGTCGGCACCCTTGCCAGCAATGGTCACACGCGTTAGTGTTGCGGCTGCCAGCAGCCGTGCTTGGCTGCAGTGTTGGGAGGAGGCAGGCGGGAGAGGGGGTGCCCTGCTTCCATGCCCAGCTGTCCACCAGGCAGAGCGGCCTGTAGGACCACATCCTGAGAATGGCGCTCATCCTGGGACGTGTCACCAAGCTTGGCCAGCTTCCTTCTCAGCCCTGGGTGGCCACAGCTGCTTGATACCAAGACACTCCGAGCCCCAGTGGCTGAGAAAACCCACCAAGGAAGGGAACAGAAATGGGCTTAGAGTGGTCAAGATTGACTGCAGGGGCGTCAGAGGGGACACTGCCTCAGGACAGATGTCGGCCGGTCTCAAGGATGCTCCCCCATGACAGCCTCACAGGCATGTTGGAAGGGGTTTCCTTGGACTGAAGTGGAGGCTGGGACAGAAGGCAGGCTTGCTGCCCACAGCCAGGTCACAGTGATGCCTTGGAGCAGCCTGGCCTGTCACACTTCTTGTCCAGTTTGTCCGACATCCTGGTGACGCACTGGAGCCTCAGGTCCCCCCTCGCTGCCGCGTCAGGGCCCTGTTATCCCAGAGTGAAGCCAGTGTCTTCATGGGGCCTCTCAAACCTCGCCTTCCCCCTGGCCAGGGCAGCATCTCCTGCCTGAGGGCCTTTGTACACTGCTCTCTGTCTGCCGGACACTCTTCCCAGAGTTTCCGTGAACAAACCACGCACCTTCTGTGCCCTGGGCACTGTGTTTTAAACCGTTTCTTGGCCAGCCCTTTCCCCACAGCCATGTATTGGTGGGCTGTCATCCTGTCTTCCATGTCAGTGCCTTGGGTGGGGGCCTCTCTCTGGGTCCAGGGGGTCTCTAGAGCTTGATGCACAAACATGATGGAATCCAGCTGGGCCCTGCTCTCTGTGCCCCAAACGGCCTCCACTCACCAGTTGGGCAGGGGACAGGTCCTCCCCCAGCAGCTGCTCATCACGGCTGCCTCCTTGGCTGCCCGCACCTTTGCTCTGTGGACAGGGGTTGTGCAGGCCTGGCCAGCTCAGCTCCTGCACCCGGATGCGGGCCGTGCTGGGCCGAGGCTCCATTTCTGTCCAGTCTGTGGGGAAACGCAAAGAGCAAAGCAGGGTGGCCAGAGGGTCTCTGGTTGGCTCCCGTTGCCCACTGGCTGAGTCTTCCTCAAATCCTGACAAGCCCTCCCTGCCTGGGCCTGGCCACCGTGGAGCCCTGGCCATGAGTCCAGCCACAGAGCTCAACCATGGAGCTGCCCAGGCCCAAAGGCTACACTGGCCCCAGTGCCAGCCCTGTACCTCCCAGCTACCAGCCAGTCTTGGCCCAGGCCTTCCTTCATCCCCTGCCCAGGAGTGACCCCCTACTCAGCTGGACAGAGGTTCAGAGCTGGGCTCCTCACTGACCAGCTGACTGCTGTGCAGAGAAGCCGCCATACCAGTCTCTGTGGAGTCGGACTGTAGGCTGGGCACTGGACACCCACACCCTCCCCAGTGGTCTTTACAGGGGCCCTGGGATGGGTACAGCCATGACCCCAATCTCCACAGATGGGCTCAGGTCAGGGCTCCACAGTCAAACAAAGTCTCAACTCCCAATTGGGGTCCTGACTGGGGTCTCACTGGGAGTCTGACTACGGTCTCTGATCCACATCTGACTGGGGTCTCTGGGCCAGGAGCCAGGATCAGGGTCTTAGGGCAGCCCCCTCAAGCCCGGCTGAGCCCCTCACCTTCAGGCAGCCCAACCGTAGTCACACATTCAGGCATGCAGGCAGCATGCAGCCCCATGCAGCACCGGCAGGAGAGTTGGGTCAGTCTTCTGGCCATGCTCACTGCCCCTGAGGGCCTGGTCAGCCGGACGAAACCCCCACTCCTCACTCACCCTCACCCACCTGGGCAGAGGAGCAAGTGTGCAATGCTGGGGTCCCTTTTGGACCCCCAAAGGGACCCATCCAAACCCATTCCTTCATCCCCATGCCCCCTGTCCTCTGCTAAAGGAGCCCCATGCCTGCCTGCTTTGTACTGACTCCTGGAAGTGGGGCTGTGCATGGGCCGCTTCCAGGTGTCCCTGGGGGCCCAGCCCATTGCTGGCCAGCCTGCTCCACCCTGGCTCCTCCTCAGACCCCAAGGAGGCCCTGCACCCCCCAGGATGACCCTCCCTACACCCTGCCCCTTTCCTCAGGGTCTTGGCCTAATGACACATTCATGGTTTGCTCCTGGTCTATTTTTGGTGGCCCCCGACAGCTGTGAGGAGCTCTGGTGGTACGGTGGTCTAAGCATTTGGCTTGTAACCAAAAGGCTGGTGGTCCAAATCCTCCACGGGAGAAAGCTGAGGCAGTCTGCTTCTGTAAAGACTGACAGCTGGGAAACCCTCCGGGGCAGTTCCCCCCTGCGCTCTAGGAGCACTGAGTTGGAGTGGACTCACCAGCAATGGGTTTGGTTTTTTTTGGTTTGGACAGCAGTGAGCCGAGGAAGTCAGCCACGTGAGCCTTGTCCGGCGCTGGGCTCCCATCCTCAGTGCTCATGTGCTTATTGTGTGAACAGCGAATGAACAAAGGAAGCGTGGACTAGGAGAACCCACACAGCCTGGCAGAGGCCGGGCTCCCTAGGGCTTGGGTCACTGTGAGCAAGAGGGTGTCTGCCCACCTCAAGGCCAGGTTGGCCAGAGGTAGGAGAAGGGCTGAGGGGGCACCGCCTCACAGCTGGCGCCCCATCTAGCAATGCCGTCCGGCCGTCATCCTCTGAGTCCTTCGGGCCTCACCTGGCCAGTTTCTGTTTGCGCTCAGATACCATACAGCACGGATGGCAGAGAAAGACCCCACTTAGCCAGCGGCCGCCCCGGCCCAGCTCCTGAAACATGTTTACGGAGAGGGTATCACTGTTACTGACTAGGTGGCACACAGGTTTGGTGGCCTGGGAGTTCACTCAGCAGTGAGGTACCACCCCCACCCTACCCCCGCCAAACTGTACGGGGAGAGGCAGGTTTGCCCTGCTCAGTCTTAGGACTCAGCGCCTACCACAGAACATAGTGGCTGTTGCGCAAATGTTTGTGTATGTGAGTGTAATTCCCCTTTTCACAGCTGCACCACATCCCAGAGAACATTGTTGCTGATTTTAGGTGCTGCCAAGTCACTTCCAGCTCACAGTGACCCCACGCACAACAGAAGGCCACACTGCCTGGGCCTGCACCAGCCGCACCATCCCTGCGGTGCTTGAGGCCACTGTTGCAGCCACTGTGTTGATCCATCTCGCTGAGGGTCTTCCACATTTCTGCTGACCCTCTACTTTATCAAGCACAGTGTCAAGCATCCTTCTCCAGGGAATGGTCCCTTCTGACAACGTGACCAAAGTGGGTGAGACAAAGTCTGGCCATTCTCACTTCCAAGGAGCATTCTGGCTGCACTTCTTCCAGGACAGATGTGTTAGTCTTTTTAGCATTCTTCTCCAACACCACAACTGGGAGGCCTCAATTCTTCTTTGGTCTTCTTTATTCATTGTCCAGCTTTCACATGCATATGAGGCAATGCGCTAAAAAGGCAGGGAGGCCACATCTCCTGACCTCCTCTAACCCTACAAGGGGAAGGCAGGATTACCAGCAGTAACCCAAGGCCTATTACTGCAAGGCCAGACATGCTGCCTCCCTCCAGCCCTTTCACCAACTGTTCCACCCAAAGCACCCATCACCTCTCTCCTGGGTTCGATAATTCGCTGCAGTGGCCACACAGAACTCACAGATCACGGGGCTTATTAGGGAAGCACAGACTACAATTCAAGTTCAGGAAAAACACTCAGTCTCTCTCCCAGCCCACTGTCTCTCAGCCAACAGTTTCTCAGTCTGGCCCAGCAGTGCGTGTCCCTCAGTGTCTCACTCAGCAATGCATGGCTCTTGCATCTCTTTCCCAGCAACACGTCCTTTCCTCAGCCAGCAGTCAGAGTGAGAGCTCTGCCTCTAGGAGGTCTCTTTTTGAGCCTGGCACAGTGGCCAAACTAACCAATCATAACATCAGAATCCTAAGCACCTGAGAGAGTGAACTTCCCAGAACATTGCTGTGCTGTGCCCAACAGAAATACCCCAGGTGGATAATTTTATAATCAGTAGCTCCTCAGTTGCTCACAGCAAATTCCACCACGGAATTTACAAAGACTTATGGGTAGAAAAGCCACACTAAGAAACTTACTACACCGCACAATGGAAAATACTATGGCTTGGGTCAGGCACACCTCAGTCTTCAAAGTGACATCTTTGCTCTTCAACACTTTAAGGAGGTCTTTGGCAGCACATTTGCCCAGTGCAGTATGGTGTCTGATTTCTTGACTGCGGCTTCCATGAATGTTGATTATGGACCCCGATAAAACAAAATCTCTGACAACTTCAATCTTTTCTCCATTTATTCTGATGTTCTTTATTGGTCCAGTTGTGAGGATTTTTGTTTTCTTTATGTTGAGGTGTAATCCATATTGAAGGCTGTAGAATTTGATCTTCATCAGTAAGGGCTTCAAGTCATCTTTACTTTCAGCAAGCAAAGTTGTGTTGTCAGCGTATCGCAGATTGTTAATGAGTCTTCCTCCAATCCTGATGCCATGTTCTTCTTCATATAGTCCAGCTTCTCGGATTATTTGCTCACCAAACAGATTAAATAAATATGGTGAAAGGATACAACTCTGATGCACTCTTTCTTGATTTTAAACTATGTAGTATCCCCTTGTGTTCAAACGACAGCCTCCTGGCCTATGTACAGGTTCCTCATGAGCACAATCAAGTGTTCTGGAATTCCCAGTCTTCTCAATGTTATCCATAATTTGTTATGATTCACACAGTTGAATGCCTTTGCACTGTCAATGAAACACAAGTAAACATCATTCTGGTATCTTTGCTTTCAGCCAAGATCCATTTGACATCAGCAATGATAGCCCTCGTTCCACGTCCTCTTCTGAATCCAGCTTGCATATCTGGAAGCTCTCTGTCAATATACTGCTGCAACCATTTTTTAATTATCTTCAGCAAAATTTTACTTGCATGTGACATTAATGATATTGTTTGATAATTTCCACATTCTGTTGGATCGCCTTTCTTTGGAATGGGCAAAATTATGGATCTCTTCCAGTCTGTTGTCCAGGTAACTGTCTTCCAGATTCTTGGCATAAATGAGGGAGCCCCTCCAGCACTGCATCTGTTTGTTGAAACATCTCAGTGGCTATTTCATCAGTTCATAGACCCTTGTTTTTCGCCAATTCCTTCAGTGCAGGTTGGACTTCTTCCTTCAGTACCGTTGGTTCTTGAACATATGCCACCTCCTGAAATGGATGAACATCAACCAATTCTTTTTGGCCCTCTTGATGCTTCTTGCATCATTCAATACTTTGCCCAAAGAACCTTTCAATATTGCAGCGTGAGGCCTGAATATTTTCTTCAGTTCTTTCAGCGTGTGACATGTCAACTGTGTTCTTCCCTTTCAGTTTCACATCGTTGCACATTTGATTATAATACTTTATCTTCTGGAGTCATCCTTTAAAATCTTCTGTTCAGCTCCTTTATTTCAGCATTTCTTCTGTTCACTTTAGCTATTTCTCCATTCAAGAGCAAGTTTCAGAATCTCTTCTGACGTCCTTTTTTTTCCCCCTTGTCTTTTCTTCCTTTCTTGTCATTTTAATGACCTTTTGCTCTCTTCATGGATGATTTCTTTTTTTTTTTTTTTTTGGAACACTAAAACATTTTAATATAATGATACAAAAAATCAGTCACTGCCATCAAGTCTGTTCCGACTCATAGCAACCCCTCCTTTGGTTTCCAGGGTGGTATCTCTATGGAAGTAGATTTTCTAGTCTTCCTTGTGAGGAGTGGTTGCTGAGTTTGAACCACCAACCTTCTCATTAGTAGTCAAATGCCTTAGACACTATGCCACCAGAGCTCCCAAATATAATGATACAGTAGCAATAATAATAATGTTTTGATACACATTGCAAAGTAATTCTCATTTGCTATTATGAACCATTGTATATACCTTGAATTTTTAATATAGTAAGCATCACAGGGCTTAGTTTGTAACTATGAGCTGTACATAAGTCCAACA